TTCCTCCCATCCCTGGCAGAAAACCAAGTCCAATGTGTGTCCAGCACTGTGGGTGGGGCCAGATACCTGTTGAGACAGCCCCATGGTTTCCATGGCAGACATGAAGTCCTGAGCCGCTCCCGATAAGGCGGTCTCGGCGTGGACATTGAAGTCCCCCAGCACAAGCAGCCGCTGGGACTCCAATGCCAGGTCCGAGACCACCCCCGCTAGCTCAGTCAGGGAGTCTGTGGTGCAGCGAGGTGGACGGTACACTAACAGAATCCCTAATCTGTCCCGGTCACCCACCCTCAGGTGGACGCATTCAAAATTTGTTGACTGCGGGATGGGGGCCCTGGTCAGAAGAATGGAATCTCTATAGACCACTGCAACCCCGCCCCCCCCCCCCGCCCTCCGGATCTTGGCTGGTGCTGCACAGAGAAACCTGGCGGGCAAAGCTGGGTCAGATTCACACCTCCAGCTTCGTCCAGCCAGGTCTCTGTGATGCACGCCAGATCTGCCCGTTCATCCAGGATGAAGGCTGTTTTGCCATTGACAGATCTGGCGTTCAACAGCACCACCTTCAATCCGGAAGGACCGCCATCCTGGTTACACCAATTTACCGTATCAGGAGACCGATTTGGAATTACTAAAGTTGTTGTACGGTCCCTAGGCCGAATTCGGGGTCTCCTTTTCCCGTATCTCCCCCTCCCCACCACGACTTCTATGGGGGCTCCCCGACCAACGGAACATCCTCCCTCCTCCATGACGCAATTCACATCCATAATTTCACCCCATGCTTCGCTGCTGGTTATCTGATTTGTTACCGATACAATTCGTTTTAGTTTTCCCTTCCATTAATTTCTTACCCGGACTTTGCTATTTCCAGAAATCTCCGATTCACTCCCCTCCTTACCTCCCCCACAAATAATTAACAAAAGGGTTAGCAAGTACCAGGGGATCGGGAGCAGCATGAATGGTGGGTGGGTGGTAAACACAATCAACAAAGCTACCAAAGTTCTTAAAGTGCAGCAGGTAGTTGTATCAACCTCACAGTTCTTAAAGTGCAATAGATAGATGTTAAGCACTATCAATAGAGTTACCAAGTTCTTAAAGTGCAAATGTAATAATGATAAAGAGAGTAAAATAATAAATGTAATGATGATGATGATGAGTAAAATAATGTGAACATAATAATAATAATAATAATAATAATAATAATAATAATAATAATAATAGCTCAGTAAAATAATAAATAACTTTGATTTGAGTACAAGCCGAGGGGGGCTTTTTCAACCTAAAAAAAGAGCTGAAAAACTTGGCTTATACTCAAGTATATACATATAAATTCAACTTAAGAACAAACCTACAGAACTTATCTTCTTCGTAACTTGGGGGCTGCCTGCATAAATATAGAAAATAAATAAATAAGCTATGGTAATAAAGGGCCAGTTAGTTATGAGATCAATTTTAAATGTTCCATTCTGCAGAGGCTTTTATTCTTTGTCATTTAATCTTCCTGCTGTGCTGACAAGATGCCAATCCCAATCTGCTGACACTAGAGTTATCTATCAACCAAACACATTAATTCATGAGACTGACTACTTACAGGTTCTATGTGTAATGACCAAATGGTATGTGATTCCACTTACCTCTTCCATAGAAAGACCCAGCATGGAGCCAACATGCCTCCCAGGTATTTTCTCTTTTGCTGATGACATAAGATTTTTCATTTCAGCATCACTAGCAGAGAGAGGTCGAGAACGCTGTACGATCACAGAGATAAATCAGAATTTAATTATTTCTTCTAATTGTGGGTTGTTGTAGATTTTTTTGAGCTATATGGCCATGTTCTAGAAGCATTCTCTCCTGATGTTTCGTCTGCATCTATGGCAGGCATCCTCAGAGGTTTTGAGGCCTTCTAATTGTATTCCAAACATTTTAAATGATTTCAAATGCTAAATCCATTTGCGCAGGAAAAAATACTCTCCAGGCATGAAGGTCAGGAGTCACACTCCAAAACAGAAAGGATCCAAGGACACAAATGCCAAGTTTCACACTCGCTTCCTCCAACTATAATAAGGTCCACACCCCACTAGATACAAATGCCAGATTTCATATTCCTTGTGTTTGACTGCAGAACCACACCCTAAAACTGTAAAAGCCAACATCCACAACTTCTGTTTCTATGGACAAAACATGACACATGTTCCTGGCCCTGGTGCCTACTGAGAAACATCTCTAGCTCGCAACTGCTGGTCAGTTCATGGTTTGCAGCAATCTGCTTGTGAGATGAAGGTATAATAAGAAAAAGACATTTAGCTCATCAATATTTTTTCCAAATCTAATTGCTGAAATGACCAATGCCAAAAACTCTTTCTGAACAGGACATTTGCATTTTCTGAATTCATCTCTATTTCTGTCACTACATGGCTAAATTAGTTATGAGCAAGTACTAAAGGGAAACAAAGGGGGGGGGGATAAAATATGAAGTACTGGCCAGACATTTTCAACCTAGTTGCACTGCCAAAGCTGGAATCAACGGTATTTAATAATTGAGACATTAAGTTCCCAAAGAAAGATTTTTTTAAAAATCTTGAGATCAAAGAAGCAGAATTTTGGGCTCAATGTAACCTCCCCCTAGAAATGTATAAAAACAACTATTATTGCATGGCCCATCAACATGAAAGAAAAAAAGACAGGATAAGATTTGAAAAAAAATGAAAGTAGACAAATGAAGACCACAGTACAATACACCAAGAACTCAATCTCAATTAATCCCACTAATACTATTTAAAATTTTGGAATGTTCTAATGTATAGCCTTCAGCACATACAGGAAGTACTGCATTTGTGATAAGTAGAAAACATTATTCTTGAAGGTTCTAGTACAGTGGTTCTCAACCTGTGGGTCCCCAGGTGTTTTGGCCTACAACTCCCAGAAATCCCATCCAGTTTACCAGCTGTTAGGATTTCTGGGAGTTGAAGGCCAAAACATCTGGGGACCCACAGGTTGAGAATCACTGCCTCCATCTCCCAACAATGTATGTCTCAATGTTGGTAACATCCCTGTCTTGAGTCTGCCATATTCCCTCTTTGCATGCTATGAATATCTACATAATGTAATGCTTTGTCCCCATGTAATGCTTTGTCCCCATGTCTTCCCTCAGCATGGCAACCATAAGTTGGGACATGCAAAAAAAAATCCACTATAACTTGAAAAAGTACTCTACTTTTTTGTTCTCTAAGCGACAAGACGTAAAGGAAAGATAAAGTATGAGACACAGTAATTGTGTCATATTGTCATGTAAAGGAGTGGCTTTCGCATTCTTTCACATCATCTGGAGCATATCCTTTTCATGACTTCCAGAATGAGGAGTCAGGTTAGCCATGAGGGGCTCTGACAACAAGGAGATTTAAGAAAATAGATACTACACAGTTAATTGCAGTACCATATTAATATGTGGCTTGGAAGTAGCCTTTTTGAAAGGAAAATTAAGGAGGTTAACTAAAAGAGAAGGGACTTTAGTTCCAGCCTTCTTGCCTGAGAGGAAAACCTTTTAAACTTATGCAGTAGAGTCTCACTTATCTGACATAATCAGGCTGGCAGAACGTCGGATAAACAAAAATGTCGGATAATGCGGAGTCTCCTACTGTTACCCAATGCAGCACAAGACACTTAGAATACTAACAACAGGGACTCAAAGGATTAAGGCAAGGCTAGAGCAGCCCAGGAGGAAGTGCCTGGATGCAGAAGAGGAGCATGGAAATCACAGAGGGAAGGAGGAGGATGCTTCTGCTTCAGGTCCTGCCTCTTTTATTTATTTATTTATTTCGAGCATTTCTACCCCACCCTTCTCAACTCCCGAAGGGGGACTCAGGGCAGCTTACAAAAGGCCCCCTTCCCCCCCCCCTCATCCTCCTCCTCTTCCTCGTCTTGCCTTTTTCATTTATTGGGTAAGGAGAGATAGTTGGAAAACACTCCTTTAATTGAAGAGGAAATGCTGGAGGAGAAGGAGGGGCATTGGATAAGAGCGTCAGATAAGACAGAATGTCGAATAAGCGAAGGTCGGATAAGCAAAACTCTAGTGTATTTCAGAGGAAGGCCCCAGAACTGCTTTGGCTCAACTCTGTCATTTCAGAGATTGAAATTTCAGAGAGGGTCAAAATATGTTGTATACTAATTGCCATATAAGCAAGCCACATTTATATTTTCTTATGGCTTTTATATCAAAGTATAGAGAGAAAACTGGCCTAGCTCTGCAAAACCAAGTTTTTCCCCCAAATAATTTGTAAGAGTTTCTTTTCAAAATATTTGCTTCACACCTAGCAGTTTTTTCCCCTATTCAAAAAAAATAAAATGTTGAGAATGTGCTGTTTTTCTTTCTCTTGGCTTTAGATGCCCCCTTGCAACCAATCCAGAAGCCAGATAAAACAACACAATTCCATCCTGAACAAACTCTAGTGTGCATTTTTCTACAGGCAACCTTCACAAAACCTTATTCCAAGAACAATTCCATACTGCATGGCATTCAGCAGTCTCAGGACCAGTTCATTCATGCTAAAGATTCAAGTGGTCGTGCTTTGCCTCGGCTCCCACCAGATTTCCTGGCTTAACTTCACATACTTTAATATTTCTTCTTGAAAACAAAGCCATGCTGCATGTAGAAAGCTAGATCAATAGGGAACACTTCAGTATAGCACTAGATCAGTATCCTTCCATTTTTCTCATGGTCTGATTAGCTCAAATATGAAGATAACATCTGTCTGATAGTGTAACTTGAGCGATATAGGATTTTATAGGTCATAATCAGCACTGAACGTACCTAGAACAAAGTTATAGTGGAAATGTTGTAACGGGGGGGGGGGGTCACTGCAATCTGCTGTGGTTAACATTTTGATTGCAGCTCTTTGAACAAGCTGAAGTGCCCATAAACACCTTTAAAGGCAATCTTACATTTTACAGTAGTCTAAACAATTTGCAACTAAAACATTCACCAGAGTGATCTGATCTGGCATCTCAATTCAACTGAAATCAATTTTAGAGTAACATATGTATAAATATAAAATTAATAACAACCAAGTATTAGGCTGGGGATTTGTATTAATTAATAATAAAATTAGTTGCAGAAATTCCTTAATATTCTATTGTGTATTTATCATTTTAAAAGTTTGCCAAGCTGTACTTCTTCCTTTTAGGCCACATTCTGTGGGTGTGTAGCCCTCATACACCTGCCAAACGAAAAGTGCTCCATGGACATGCAAATTACCCAGTCCTATTCTAGATGAACCTTATTCCCTTTCTTTTAGTGTCCATTATTTCTGTATTCTCAACACAACTTTCCCTTTTATTCCCTTATTACACTGACCTTTTTCCAAATTTCAGGAATGTCCATATTCTACATCAAATTAATCTATATACATCAAATTAATCTAATATCTATACCTGCAAATCAATGAAGTGATTTAAACTATGTTAATTTCCTAGTCTTATCTAAATAGTTTTATTTACTCTGTTTATTATTTCTAATGTTCACAATTTTGTTCAAATTAAGAATATTCTGATCAAAAAATGTAGGGACAGTATAGGTCAGATAACTATATGCATCATAACAGCGATACAACTGTGACGCATGCACAAGAAAGGGAAAATAGAAAAATCTTGCACTTGAGATGTCACATATACAATTAATATATTGAATTTGACACAGTTATAAATACCAGAATTTGTCTACCTTTCAAGGGGGCAAGATAACAGGCTTCTGCATTAAACACAACAATAAATAAAAGATAGCCTGGCATAGTTAATAATCTGCCTGCAAGTCTTGGCATTCGCAGTATAGTTAATTTTCTCTCTTAGTCATGGCCAATTGGTTGAATCTTTTTCTGCCAATATAATCAACACATTCAAAACAGACACTTCAAAATATTGAGTGAAGCAATATAAAATATGACACTTACTAGTTTGGCATTTGTAGATCGGGACTGTGCAGAGACAGGACGCTAGAAGAGAAAGATAAAAAACAAAGATTTCATGCTGTCCTCTGTGGCATCATCACTCCTTTTGTCACATGTCTGAAATACACAGTGTATTATTATTATTATATTCATTTAGTGTACATATGTATGATCTCCACAAAGTGTAACAAGCTTTTGATATATTCCAATATTATATTTAAAACATCTTAAACATACATCGAAAGCATGCAGCATGTAATAATGCAGAATGAAAAATATTTAAAACCAACATCTCCTTCTACTAGATAACACACCTACAAGCAAATTTTGAGAATAGAAGATAGTCAGGACTCCAACTAAGTTGTACAAAGAAAAAAAACCCCTGTGTTTTCATTTCTGTCAACAACATGTACTGATTCTTGGGGGGGG